TTGGTGGCGGATTGGTGATAGGGGACAGGAGAGACGATGCTAGTTATAAAATTAGAACCATTATGAGCTCCTACATAGATACTTACTGTTGGTTGTATGTGCTGAAGCGCCAGAGGGTGGTTCACTGTCAGGGCACACCTGCCTGACCCGGGTCCACCCGGACCCACCCAGCCACACCACACCCACTCCCCGCTGTCCAACCCTCTCCCTCCTCCTTCCTCTGTCTCTCCTCCCCTTTTCCTTTTCTCTCTTTCTTCCCCTTTTCTTTATCTCATTCCTCTCATCTTCCTTTTCTTGTTTATTTCCTTCTATCTACACGGACCACCTTCCTTTGTATCAATGTACTATTGACCCATCCGGCCCACACACCCCGGACAGCTCCCCGCTGTGCCCAACACGCGCACATGCAGCGGATGCTCTCGGGATCCCCCACGGGGATACCCGGATGCCTGTGGCTGCCTCCGAGGGTGACGTGGCACTCGTCATGTGACTCAAGCCGCATGTACATAAATGTACCTGAAGTGGGAACCAAAGAAGTAACCTTCTTCTCACATTCTCCACTTCAGGTAAGTAGTATAGTTTTCCCTTTTAATAACAATAACACATTCTCCACTTCAGTCTAAGTGGCCAGGGACTGCTGTCCCTCCCCGGACCCGCCAGCACGCGCGCCCGGTTTGCACCCCGTGAGGGCCCTTCTGCCGGGCGATACATCCGGACCCCCTCTACCCCAGACGCGTCCCTGACATTCACTGCCTACCACATGAATGTGATAATGTGAGCGTTGAAGGAGAGAACGAAGGAAGGTCAGTTGGGAGGTTCAAACGAGACCACCACCAAGCTGTTCCCTGGTTCTTTAGTTAGGATGGGGAAGTGTACTAGTATTATTAGTTGTAAGTATAGAACCAATCCAAGTGTTTTGGCTAATTCTATTTTTATGGGTTAGTCTAAAATTTCTGGGAATTGACTTACAGATAAACCGAGCCCTGCGGAGCTGTTCCTTTATTGAAATTTCTTAATTTGTCTAGGTGTAATTCTGTGTAGCATTGTTTAATTTGGAATTTAACTTGAATTAAATCTTTACTTGGTGAAGTTTCAAAGATTCTACTCAGTTAATGGATTTGGATTGTGTCTGGAGTGTCCCTTGAGTTTGTTTTATTTTTGTCTTATTTTATTGCTTGTTTTAACAGTAGCAAAATAACTGTTTTGTGTTTACACTTTGAAATCTGGAGTGTTAACCAGCTCCCCTGTTGAAATATCTACTTAATATTTCTCTCCTTAATTGCTACCTTTTACTACAGTGGCAATCTTAACTGTATATCACTTTTTCGCACTGGAGTGACAACCAGAAATGCTTGAGAAAAATAATACTCTATTTTCTTACTTCTCTAAGGGGGGGGGCGAAAAGTTGCAGAAAGGGTCTCCCTTTTATACTCCTTGGGTCGCCTTCCTTTTTCACGCTCTACCTCCTATTTACAGGATTTATTTACAGTGTATTTTTCTCAAACTGAATAAAAAATGAAAATTTCACACTATAGTTCTACTGTGCTTTGCTGCGCTGAACTGCGGCTCTACTGTGGTCAGACTGCGCCTAGAATCCTTATTGTCCTTCCTCGCCTAAGCTATTTTAATGGTTAATTAAAACTTGACTGTGCTGCATTTGTCGCAGTTTTCCTATTTCAAATTCCTCATATTTACCATTAAATTTTCTATGACTCGGTGATTCTGAATTCAAACTTCACATTACTATGCATGCGGCTGCGCTGAGACCTTCAGCTGATTTATTCCATTTTTATTCAGCAACATTTAGTTAAAATGAGACTTGAAAGGTAAATGAGTGAATTATTCAGGTTTAAAACCGAAAGAAAAAGTTGCTTGTTACGGATACGGAGTCTCCAACGACCATATCCATCGCATGGTCAAAGACTTCTCCTCTCTATCGTTCCTCCCCTCTTTCTCCCTTCCGTCCTCTATCCCGATACCCTATCCTCCTTACCCGTTCTACCCCTTTCCCCCCCTCGTGCAAAGCTTTCCCCATTGGGGTTTTGGTGCTGGCTGAGGTTACTTGTGTTTCGCGGGATTTCCCACGACCTTACCATTTGTAGATAGTCACGCGTCTTGTACGGAAACCGCCGAAGGCGGTTCCCGCTAACTAACAACTGCTCTACAACTGTCTCTTGTATCGTCTTCTGTAACAACCCTCCCTGTGACTCAACTGAACCTGTGTGATTGTACAACTCTCAATATGTCTTATAAGTCTGGTTATATCGAGTCCTCTAACGGCCCTCGCCGTGAGAACTCGAGGTCGCGAGTCGAAGACTCTCAACATATGTATCGTCCTATTGAATCTGTACCCTATGGGTCCTCGTCACTCCGCTCTCCCCCCAGTACTCGACATACGACGTCACATCACGATCATGGAGATCGTGAATACTCTGAGGCCCACTTTCCTGTGATGCTGGCACGTTCGCTATGCGAACGCAAGTCGCCGCCCATCCACCATCTGTTCCCTCCTTCGTCAGTCATCATGTTTCCCCGCCAACGGTACGTTCCCTTTGGGAACACCAAGTCACCGATGGCCCTATTGGTCAGTCCTCATTGCACGCTTATGATATCAACCCGCTACCGGTACGTTCGCACTGCGAATGCCAAGTACCTGATGGCAACTACACGAAGTTCTCACCCATCTCACAAGTCGCGACCTCGCACACGGTACACTCCATTGAGGAGTGCCAAGTACCCGTGGCTGACCCGTCCGTCCTGGCATCTCTGACTGCCTACCATCAATCCCTTAATAGCTCACTACATCACCAATCGCGATCGATGGGAATTTGATCGTCCACTCCCAGACAAGACTGGGATCACTCATCGATTACATATCCCATTATGGTACAGACCAGATGTGACCCTCGTCATCCCACTATAAGAACGGATCGAGGAATGGAGAATTTCCCCCATCCCCATAACATTGCTAGTAGTCAAGAATTACTCAAACGAATGTATTATAGCTCTCCACTTCATTAGAATATCGTTCCCTAAAATTCCCACCATGGTCCGTCGTAGTTTAGTGGTTTTCGTGGATTTCGTTCATCTTCCCTGATTCCCCTTTGTATTATCACATCCTAATCCTCCATATGTATTGTTCGTTGTTATAGTAGGTCATCCTCGAAGATATCATATTTTTATGTATTTCATTTAGGGCTCTGGACCTCTTGAAGCTGTCTTCCCATGCATTATCAGGTTTCTAACTTCATGTCCTTGTATCTCATTCATTTCTGGATGGTTTCTCACGTTCTTGGTATCATTTATTCCCGCCAATGGTACTAAAGTTGTGTTCTATTTCCTGGTATTCGTCGAGTTAGCAAAAGTTCGCGTGCACATTCGGTAATCACATGCGTCGTTCCCATAGTCGTTCATATGCGGGTGCTGTTTCTGTTTAATTGTTCGGGATTTATGGTATGCACGGGTGTTTATATCCTTCATATGGGCTTCTGTGATTTATTTCAGATTTTTCCCTCATGATCTAAGGTTGTTTTGCACTTTCCATGCTTTGTTTTGACCGGGCTCTTCCTTATTTGGACGGAAATTGGTCTTCACGATCTGCCGAAGTGCGGATCTCGGTTCTGATGGCCAGTTCCCTTCGCATTGCCACCCTCACGTGTCATTAAACATGATGCGGATTTCTATATTCCTGTCATTGGTATAACTATACAACGGCTGGACCGTTTGGGCTGAAAATTTGCATAACTATAGTTTCCTATTTTTCATAATTTCCGTGTAAATTTCGTTGTATGTTTTAATTATGGATCCTACGTAAACATCGTCTTTTCCCTGAGCTCGGACTTTTGATGTCGCTATTCCCGTTATTGGATATCTCATTAATGCGTGATCCTTTTATTATGAAAATTTGGGTGGATTAAGATTAGATCCCTTCCTTTCTAATGGGTCATCAAGCTCGTCTCGGTCGTTACTGGTTATTCTTCGCGCTTGCTTTTTAAGCGTTGTCCTCATTTTGCGGGAGTTTTAGTCATATCTCCGTCGTTTATGGGTAGTTTCCCCTGTAATTACTTTCATTGGGTCCGTTTGGGGGACATCTACATTTCCTATTATAAACACGACTTTGAATTTTGCATCAGTTCCTGAGGAATCCTTGTTCCACGGTACTTCCATCCTTGGCTACATGTGCGGACGTGGGAAAGTAGTTTCCGTGGAGGTTCTCTGATTGTTTTTATAGTCAGATCTTGGTCGATTGTCCTAATTCTTTGTTAAATATTTGCTATAAATTCCCCTGAGAATTCCGTCTTGTTGATGCTAAGCTTGAAGTATTTTTGCTAATTTTCTTTCTTTCAATTTATCGTGTATAATTTGTAAAAAATTCATTAAAATTCGTTCAGGTCCTTCTATTTTCTCATATCTACTTGTCATATGGGGTTTTTTGATTTATCTGGCATATTTCCATAATGGGTTTCCATAGTGTGTCCCTTATTTCTCCTACAACGTATAAGCGCACATGTGGGAAAGACTTCACCTGGACACTGTAACGGGTTTATCAATCTAGACTCGTGGCTCAGGTCTAGGGGGGGGGTAGGTATCTCTCTATCACTCAGGTAGGTGTGTTGGTCCTGCGAGTACGGTGCTGATACTCTGTGTAACCTCTAACTAACTGTCTGTACAGTTGTCACGGAAGCGTCCGATACAAATATAAAAGGAAAGTCACATGCGTGAATGAATGAAAATAGTAAGGAAAATAAAGAACAAGTCATATCTCCTCAACCACTCCACCAAATCCAACGATCTTGGACTCGTCAGAACCACCTCCACAGTCTCTACAACTCCTACTATTACCACGACTCACCAATCCTAGTCCCTGATGCAGTAGGGGTGAAATGTGTGATAAGGGTTGGTTTGACCTGCACGGACTTGTCCCCACAACAATGCATGGAATATATTCAATTGCATCCCCATCTACAAGCGATGATCAAGCATGGGTATATGGAAGGTTCTTAGCGCAACTCACCAAATATGTCAAGGCAGCAAATACGAATATACCCAATGTCATCTCCAGGAGTGGGATAATGAGCTGGCGTTGAGTGTGGATTCTCTGTCTTGAAATGGAGATAGAAGTTCGCAAGAACAGGGAGCTGTTCTGTCCATGAAGTGTACAGTTTTGTCATCTGGTCGCCCCAAGTCAAGCCTTTTGTGCGCCTGGGGACATTATTATGCATAGAATAGTTTGAACGAGAGTGGTACTTACTTTCTGGGCAGCAACGAATTGACTACACTCACTAGCTGCTCATAACTAAGGCCTTCATCCTGAAAGAGCGGGAATTGAGCCATGGCCGGGTCATCAACCCAATCAGCTGATTCGCTAGGAACAAAGGGATTCTCTTGGATCTCCCTGAGGCCATCACGGAGTTCTTCGGTAGTATCTACAAACACTTTTGATGTGAGATGGCTCAGTGTTTACAAGTTTATTACATACCTTCAAGTATTTGTTCTTGGGCTGCCTGCATTTCAATTCGTACTCTCCTTCTGGCAACTATGCCATACCTTTGTAGTTTTAAAGAGTTGGTCCCTAAGTTAGTAAAGATTATGTTCCGCCTGCTAGATTTTTTCCCCATCTTAGAAATACGATCAGTAATAGTCCAAGAGGTAGTGAGCGAGGTATTAAAAAGACCGAGGCTACCATGTGTCACGAAAAAGTCAATAGGTGCCAAGAAAGAGGCTGGCGCTGAAATTGCAGATCTGAGGTGAGTAACTCACTGCAATGTTGGTTTGAAGCCTGGAGTAGGACTGAAGGTGGAAGCGAAGTCAATGTGCCAAAAAAAAGCTGCAATATGGCTTGGAGGGTGGGGGATTCAGGGGATTGGTGGGATCTGGCGACAAGGATTGATATCAGGTGCATTGCAGTGGCAATGCAGCGTGAACAAACTGTATATACTGTATTCACTTGTTCGAAGAACCGAACCATCTCCCTCACTGGTTCAGCCTAATCCTTCAATCCTCCTGAATACACCATGTCTAACGGCAAACACCCAAGTTAGTTAATGAGCAATTTCAGGCCAACCCATCACTCACCTTTCTTCCTCAGACCTGTCATGGAATACAGCTTGCAAACTGGCTCAAACTGTGTTTGAGTCATACATCCAAGTTAACCGTGAAAGATACATGTTATGGAAATGGGAATTTCCCATTTTAGACTCTTATGGATTCTGTATCACATGATTTGTATAGTAATTAAGTTAAAACGAATGAATCATTAACAAAATCATGTCTTTGTGATAACTTCTATAACAACACCTGCCATATCTATTGTAAATTGAATGAACTCAACTTCTACCCCTTTCCCTCTTCCTGCGCCTAGAACGGACGAAAATGGGTGCTTCCGGCCCCATTTTTGTAACAATACAGGCTTTCCAACCACCACATGTCCTATTTCCAACGGAACATTAGTAAATGATTTGCATGATCATTCCTAATCCTCTATCACCACCAAGGCAAGTGAAGCAACCTGCCGACGAATGCACATTGTTTTCATGTTTCACCTAGGTTGGGAGCTGAACGAGGGTCAACTTGACTTGGAAACGGCATTGAGAGACATACCAGAGCATGCCTTTACTACTGAGATGGGATGGATGATAGAAATGCACCTCGTTTTTCCTCTATTGCAAATGAAGCAAAATCTTCGTGAAATCAGTGAATTAGTGAGTAAAGCTCGTGGAATTGCATTCAAGCAGGATGTCATATCCATACAATCCTGACCTCCGCTCCGGGCTCCCAGAACTCCAAACTCCGACTTCCGGAGCCCTACTTCCCTTCCGTCACCTTCTCCTTGCCGACTCCCAAGAGGTTATCCCACCTCCGGCTCGGACACCACCTTCGGTCCGACTCTGGAACATTCCGGGTCCGACCCCAACCTCGACACCTTCCAGATGAGTACGCAAAACCTATGCTCCCGACTCCGGACCTCCGCTCCGGTATCCCGTTCATGTCTCGTCTCCGGAACCTCCAGTCTTAGCTCCGACCTCGGACTTTGACCCCACCTCCACTTATACCCATTGTATTGGTTAGCCCATTCCATTTAATTACCTTTGCCAATATTCCGGAGTTTAACCTCCGAGTTCGGACTTTCCGGACTTACTCCGGACCTTGCAACTATTGCATTGTCCATTTCAATTCCGCTATTCTCCCTCATTCCTATTTGGGCTGCTGCTTCCTTTCTATTCAGTCAGCTAGCCATTCCCGACTCCCATCCTCCTTCCTTCCTTCTTGGGCCTTGGCCCTTCATTCCTCCCTTGGGAAACACCATTGAGTCAAACACTTGACCCTCGGTGTTGTTCCTCTTTCCATCTCCCTTTGTCTCCTTTTGTCCTACCCTTGTTCCTTTTGATTCCGGACCCCTCCTTATATACAATGTACCTAGTAACTTGTAACCTCAGTCTGAAATCGACTTGAATTCCCCCCAAGAGACTTTCCCTCTGCTAGATCCGAAATTAGGGACCCCTAGGACAACCAGCAATGGCACAGCGCTCCGCCTGAGTCACTGAAGCCAAGGTCCTTCCATGTTAAGTCTCTGATTCCATTCTGGAGTTGTCCGAATCTGCACGATCTAACACAGGACAGGCTTACCTTCTGGAAACAGTCGGACATCCGGGATCGCCTTGGGCAGCCATCAGTCATGATGGTCGACTATGAGGGACACATGTCACCCGTCCTTGTAACTGCTACAGAAGGGATTCAACAAGACAAGAACCAGAAGTCATTACGCGAGGCAATACTTGAACAATGTAGAGAAGCTCACCCTAAACGTGTCCCTGAGAGTGCCATTCCGGCTGCCAGCCTCCCACTGGCCACCACCAACAGTTGCATGGAAATCATGGATGCGGGCTCGAATGGATCAGACTCCACTGCAGAAGCAGTGTCTGGCCTGACCAAGGGGAAAGATGCATGAGAGAGGCGGGTGGTAAGGAGCCTCAGCTGGGGGCAGGAATTGGAGGGACTCATTTGGAATGGACGATGCCGGACCCATTGAGGGTCATCGTGGATCAAACTTCTGTGCATACGAACATGGCAGATAACAAGGCACTTGATGGTCTGCAAAAAAGGGCCACAATGCCAATGAGTGCGTTCCACCCAGCAAAAGCCACCACCACCATGTCCACCGACTCACCTGGTACCACTTCCTCAGCCTTATCACCCAGTTCAAACACGTCTCCAACTGACAGCAATGGCCATCATGCTGATCCCACAGTTCCAGCCACATCTTCGCACCAAGCTGAACTTGAGTCTCTTGGAGGAACTGAGCTCCTCCGAGCGAAACCTAGACGAGCTTTCAGGCCTACCGATGACAAGTGGAACAGCAATGTCAATGTCATCATATGCTGGATTGTCCACATACCTTACACCAACTGACATTCAGGATATTATTCGGTTTGCAGATGCATGCAACTTCAATGAGGACCTTTTTCACAGCGTGTTGAAGTCACACTTCCACTGCAGTGAAGAGGATAGCCACCTACTTGTTGGTTTAGCTGCAGCAGGGCGATGCAACACCTAATGGATGGGTGGATGCCAGGTCTGCCACTCCTATTAAATACAAAAGACCGTGAATATGTATTTAACAAAATTTTTTTTTCTAAATGGGTCACTGAAAATGGAAAAATAGACAACTATTTACCTCTGTTTGGGTAGCATTCCGCAGGTCCTACTCAAACTTCAACGCTGCTAAAGAGAAAAGAAAAGGAACTAGTTTGAGAAGTGTTCAACAAACGAGTTCTCGAACTGAAACATACCTTCAATGCTCAAGTAGACAATATTGCCTTGGAGTTCTCTGGGAACGGAGCTTGCTATTCATGTAGTCAGATTCGCAGCCAGATCATCTATAACCTTGCTGCACCTACAAAAACACGTAAGCCCATGCTACCTAATGCCTGGGCACATGCCAAGGCTCAGGCAGATCGTAAGAGAGGTATGTGGCATTGTCAGCGAAACGAATTACAAACAAAAACTAACTAGAACCACTCACAAGCATGAGAACTCCCGGATATTCCATATTCACAAGAGTACCTTGAAATCCTTGATGATATCAATGAGAACAGAATCACATACGAAGACATCGAGAGCCAAATGACATCAACAGAGGAACATTATGCAAGGATCCTTCTAGAGGGTGTGTCCGTCAAAAGGGAAAACCGAATGGTGAAACAGAAAGTCCCCTCACCTGAGTTGTCCGTGGGCTGCATGACATTCCATGCTAGAAGTCAGCTAATCCAAGTTGTAAGTGAGAGGCATAAACATTACTATCAAAACTGACAAACTGTAGGCAGAGAGAATTCATGAAGCGTGTGGTGTCGAGGTGTTGATCATGATGACAAAGGGAAATAATGAGGACATTTTCGCACCTGTTTTGTGGGGAACACCCAAAGCAATGGACTTTTGGTGTGGTGTGCTCAAGATAGATATGATGGAGAACATACGTCTTGTGGAGGGATATTGCGTCAACACTCTGAAGGGTAAGTGTTACGGGAATGGGTTCCGGGGAACCCAACCTGAGCCGTTCTGCTCACGGACAGAGGTGGCTGCGTAGCCGTTGAAGGGAGAGCAGGGGATTTGAGACCGGGTGTACTAACGGTAACTTGGCGCTCTGAGGAGCGTACCGGCAGCGGGTATAATGGGGGCTCCTTGAGGGAGCCACCTAACAGTTGGCTAGCGGCAACTTGGCGCTCCAAGGAGCGTACCGGCAGTGGGTATAATGGGGACTCCTTGAGGGAGCCATCTAACAGTTGGCTAGCGGTGACTTGGCACTCATGTGAGCGTACCGGTAGCGTGGGTGGTTGGCACTCCTTGAGGGAGTAGCCCAGTGGTTGTCTATCGGTTACTTGGCGCTCAAGGGAGCGTACTGGTAGCGGGATTTGTTGGGACAGACAGGTTGGTTGACCAGTGCACGGTAGTGGTGACCGTGGGAATTTGGGCCTGCGGGTACGTGGCCAGGCATCCTGGGGCTGCCTGGGTCACTTCTCCCTCCCAAGAAGGGAGGAAGGGTTGTAGGACCCAGTAGGGTACTACAGGAAGGATAGGAATAGGAGCTCAACCACCCAGTGGGGGGGTGGGAGCGGGAAGAGTGAGGTCCGGTGTCTGAGCACTCACCGGGCCGATGAGGTTTTCTCAGATTGTAAGAATATCGATGTAGACATTGATATGGACCAATTCAGATGTTACAGAGAAGGCTTACAGTGGTGGCACAATGGTGTGGCAGTTACAATCGTGGTACAAGGTTTTGTGGGTTATGTATTCAATGAAGAAAACCTCTTTCGGCATTTGCCTTTACATGTCATATGACTAGTTTATATCTAATATAAAAGTTGTAATGGTCAAGGGAAGTCCCTTGAAATTCAACAATTCCCCCAGCCAGCACCAAAACCCAGTGGGAAAGCTTGGCATGGGGTTTGGGTAGAGAAATAGGGGAAAACAATAAGGAGGCATACCTGGTTCTACTTGCTTGTAACCATGGACCATAAGATTCTGGTCCATTCCTATAACAGTAAGTCTCGCATGAGGAAAGTACCCCAGCTGTTCATGGGGGGGGGGGGTCTTGAAGGTGTCATCACAAAGTATCAGGCTCAAGTGGGAGCGTTGTGCTGTGAGGTAGCAGAGTATGCGAGAACAGGGCTTCATAAGTGGCAATGTCCCGATGAAAACTCAGAATCACGACTGACAAAAGCAGGTGGAATTACTGGAAAGCCCCACCTGTCAATGGAGTGGATACCAAAGAACTACCTGAAACTTACGATTAGTCATGGGGTCGCAATCGATATAGAGCACTTGTCAGGGCACACCCACCTGACCCCACTCCACCCGGTCTGACCCCACCCGATCCCACTACCCTCACCCGATGCCCCCATCCTCCCCCCTCCTTTCTCTCCTTCTTCCTTTCCCTTTTCCTCCTCTTTCTTCTTTCCTTTCTTTCCCCTTCTTTCCTTTTCTACTACATGGACGACTTCCTTGCTCGATGTACCATTAACCAGGCTGCGCAACACGCCCGGACCCGGACACACCGGGTGATGCCCTACACACCGGATGCTCCTGAGACCTCTTACGGAGATACCTGGGCGGACACGGCTGTGCACGTAGATGACGTGGCACTCCCCACATGACCTCCAACCGCATGTACATAAACACAGCCTAAGTGGGAACTGAGAAGTAACCTTCTTCTCACACTTCCCACTTTAGGCAAGTAGCTTACATTCCCCTGCTAATAATAATAACACACTTCCCACTTTAATCTAAGTGGCCAGGGACCCTTGCCTGCTCCGGGCCCGTTGTTACGCACACCTGCGCTGCACCCTACCGGGCCCTCAGCCCCGGGCGACATACCCGGACGCTCTCGACCCCGGGTCGGTCCCTGACAGCACTATCCAGGTGGGATATTGCAGGAGCCAAAAACTGCGAATCTTCAGCACCTGCAAGAGGTTGTCAAGGGATGGAAAACAAATCAAATTAAGTGGGTGAGACTTGGTGAAGAAGAGCACAAGGACCAGCGAAAGCAGTTAGCTGAGCTGTCAACAAGTGCCCCAGACAAGAATCAGTCTCCTTCAACTGGTAGTAGCAATATGCCACACACCTTGTAAGCTGTCCATCATTCACCATGCAATTGCCCAACCCGCCAGACAACCATCTCCCTTATTTTGTTATCAATGCACACCTTTTACTCACCATCTGCAACCTGATATGGTTAGAGAGGCTTTGTCACCAGCTGTCAGGGCACGCCCGCCTGACCCGGCCCCACCTAACCCAGTGCCCCACCATCCACTCCTCCCGACCTCCCCCCTCTTCCCCTTTTCTCCCTTCCCTTTCTTCTTCTCCTTCTTTTCTATTCTCTCTCCTCTTTATTCCTTTCTTATCACATGGACGACTTCCTTTGTATCAATGTACCATTGACCCGGCTGCAGTGTAACGCGCCCGAACCCGGACACACCGGACGACCCCCCGCACACCAGACACTCCTAGGACCTCTTACGGAGGTACCCAGATGGAGGTGGCTGTGTGCTCGGATGACGTGGCGCTTCCCACGTGGCCTTCAACCACATGTATATAAACACAGCCTAAGTGGGAACTGAGAAGCAACCTTCTTCTCACATTTCCCACTTTAGGCAAGTAGCTTACACTTCCCTTGATAATGACAATAACACATTTCCCACTTTAGTCTTAGTGGCCAGGGACCCTTGTCTGCTTCGGGCCCGTTGCTACGCGTGCCCGCGTCATACCTACCAGACCCTCAGCCTCGGGCGATACACCCGGGCGCTCTCGACCCTGGGTCGGTCCCTGACAGCAGAAGAAGGTTTCAACCCCATCTCCCCCCACCTCCCCCGCCATGGTGACACAAGAACAGTATGACGACCTCCTGGCCCGGTTCCAGGAACTACAGGCCACTGTGGTAGCCCAAGCCCAGGGCCTGCCTGCGCACGCACCCAGACCACCCAAAGTCGCCCCCCCCACCCCCTTCTCAGGAGTCAGAGAGGACCTCGACCGCTTTAAGGCCGAATGCGGGATCTACCTCTATGTCCGCGCGGCCGAATTCCCCAGCACCCTCTCCCAAGTCCTCCTCATGCTTTCTTACATGAAGGGAGGGACTGCAGGAGCGTGGGCAACGCAAGGCACCATGGCGCTACTGAGGACAGGCTCCCCTACACCCACCATGGACAAGTTCAATGCAGAACTTGACACCATGTTCCAAGACCCAAACCGGGCGGCTACAGCCTGGCAGAGGCTGGCTACTGTCCGACAGGGAAGTGACCCCGTGGACAGACTCATCCAGGAGTTTGAGATACTAGGGCCCACCTCGCAGCTAGGCGACGTAGGGCTAGTCGACCGCTTCGAGCGGGCAATCAACTCCCGGCTCCGCGAGAGCATCTACCAGCTCCGCCCTATGCCCATCACCTGGGCCGAATGGAAGCGTGAAGCCACGCTCCTGGACAGCCAGTGGCGGCACTTCCAGAGGACGCAGCCATGCACGCCTGTCAGGGCAATAGCCCCGAACCCCGAGTCACATGTAAACTAGATAGATATAGTCACGTGGACAAGCGGGAACCTCCGGGTAACCGCTTACACACCACCGTAAAATACATCATCTTGTATCACTTACGGCTTTGTGTGCTGAGCAACCCCAAAGACCTCACACTTTTTTAAGTGCATGAGGTGTGTTTTACAACACAACCCACAACTATAAAATCTCAACATCTGATTCGGAAGCGCTTATGGCGCCTAAACACACCCGCAAGGGCAAGGTCGCATCTGCAGCGACGTTAAAAAGAAGCGAGCGGTTTATTAAGAAACCGCAATCTCCCATCATGGGAGATTCAAACCAAAAGCCATCATCAGATGACGACGAGGATCAACGCGATCCGGGAAAAGCAACCACTTCAGGGCTGGTCCCTGAAGACTTTAGAAACTTACGTGGAGTAAGTGCGGGGCAAAATACCCCCAGAACTCCACAACAAACCGATCTAACCCAAGCTGGGGAAGATCCCTTATCTCCTCACGAGGTAATCGACTTGCGCGAAAAACGCGTAAGCGCCAAACGATCAGCCCAAAAAGCTGATCGGATAGAGCCGCAGGAAACCCCAGGGCCCCACTATCCCCTAGAGTTCCCAATCACGTCCCCAAGTCAAGCCCTAAAGGCAGACAAAGGGAAACAAAGGGAAGAAACCCCGCGTCGGCTATCCGAAAAACTACTGGACTTGTTCCAGGTTCCGTCCGAATGGAGGACGGAAAGTGAAGATCAACTTCTTCTCAGGCTGAAAGCCCGAGAAGGCGCGAAAATACGCCCTGAGAGCAGGATCTCTCAGAGCGCGGAAGCTCCAAAAGAGCCTCTGCTGTTTACACCCCCACGCACCATGCCAGACAAGGCAAGGTCGCCAACTTCGGAGGAGGTCTCCGAGATAATGAGGAGGAGGCGAACTGAAATGAGGGAGTTCGCTGAGGAAGCCTTACGTAAAAATAAGGAGAAACCAGCGAACAGACCCCTCTATGAAAGGGAAGCACCCTCCGCAACGGCCTCGCCAAAACAAAGCGAGCGTGGAGTGTTCACTCCAAGAACCCATTCTGGAACTCCCAGAAGCGGAAATGTCAACTGGGGAGAGTCACTGCTCGCCCAACCAAACTTCCTCCTGGAAAACCAGGAATCGCGCATAATAAACGCGATAAACTCGATCCAGAAAAAGATCGAGGAAACGAACCATAATAGCACGGCTCGTCTAGAGATAACTCTAGAAAGAATGGCCAACGCAATCGACGCGTTGACAGAAAAAATCAGCGAACAAACAGATTTGCTGAAGGAAATAAACTCCTCACAAAAAAGTGAGGAAACAAATAAACACCCCTGGACCACGGTCCAGGACATAAATAGAACTCGTGAAAAATTCACGAAAAGAACCACCAGTGAAAGCACACTGGAATATCACCAGCGACTCGACAGAGACGCTAAGGAGATCCTTCTCCCAAGGATAGGAGAAGACGATGCCGAGAGAAGACATCGTTCAGAGATCAGAAGGAGAATTGGCACGTACCAAAGGTTCGGCCAAACATCCAATTATGACGGACCTCTCGAACAGAGAGGTAACGCATTCATACCCTCTCAAAACAATGAGAGAATACAAATACAACTTCAGGCGAATTCGCCTGAAACCAAAGAAATGCTGCGAGAAAGATTCCCCCCAGCAAAAACCCCCCCAAAGGAGAGATCTCCATTGGACAGCGACCCCGCGAAGGCAGGGGAGCAAGAAGAGTACCTGGAGAAATGGTACGAAAAGGCCATAAGAATGGCCGAAGTGAGAATACTCACTCCCTACCCAGAAGGA